AAAAAAAGAATTCCAGATCGAAGGCTACAAGAACTCTGGCCCACACACAAGACCGCTAGTGTCAAATTTACCCAAGGCGGCCAAACAATCTCGATAATCGGTTGCGCAGACCGAAGGACAGAATAAGAAGAAACAATCAACAACCATACATGGCGTAAGAAGGGTTGAACAGAAACCAAAAACAAGAACCCCTAAACCCTAAAACCCCGGGGTCAACGAGTGCACCCAAGGATCAGCATCACCATCCTTTGTGTCCTCACGAACCGCAGGCTCCTCCTCTGGGTTTTGAAGTAACCAGGGAGAAAAAAGTATAGACTTTTTTCATAATGGTTCCTTTAAGGAACAGGTACCCAAAAAAAAGTATTAAAGTATTGTACTCCAAAGCCCAGTCCTTGATGTCGGCTTCCGACGCTTCCTCTGGTTCCGGCTCCTTCTTGCCGCCGGGTTGCTCCCCGACCTCCGGCTCCTCTGGGGTTTAGGGTTTAGGGTTTAGGGTTTAGGGTTTAGGGTTTAGGGTTTAGGGTTTAGGGTTTACTTCGAGGGTCATGGGACGTAGCAGCTTGGGATAAACAGAAGGTAGCTATACTTGACAACTTGAAACTCCAAAGACATAAACAATAAATCAACAAATCGACAAATAAGTAAATACATAAGCAAAAAATAAATAAACACATAGGGTACTTGTCAACTTACCGCAGGATCCTCCAAGTAGGTTTGGGGGGGCTTCATATGGTTTAGGGTTTGGGGCTTGAGGTTTCTAGGATTCTTTTGAGGGGGTTTAGGGGTTTAGGGCTTTTAGATATTTGGTGTTCAAGGTTGCCTCTGGGACTTTGGGCTTATAAGGGCTTTAAACCCTAAACTCCAACCCTAAACCCTAAACCCTACACCCTTAGCCTGTCTGGTGCTTAGTAGGGAATGGGGGAATGGATCCCTATGATAGTCCCTTAAGGTCCCTTATAGTAGTCCCTATAACCCATTCCCCCATTCCCTACTAAGCACCAGACGGTAGCGCTTATGGGGTCTTACGGGGTTTGGGATTCGAACTTCAGGATGTGTGCCTCAGGAAGCCTAGGGGTGTCCTGTAGGGGCCTTCATAGTTAGAAAAGGGTCATAGGGGGTTCCTTTAAAGGGTTCCTTCAAAGG